TCAGTTTTGCTGCAAAAAGTTAAATTTCTTTATTTCGCCGATCGCTTTTGTAGGCCGACGCTTCTGTCTCTGTAATTTTAGAAGATCCGCCAGGTTTGCTTAATTTCAAGTCGTACTTCCGTTTGATACTATCGCGCATTGTCGCGCAATACTGAGCACTATTTTAAGTGCGCGACCTGTATAGATCTAGCCTCATGTTTTCTTTTTTTACTTGGTGCTAAATTCGACTGTGATCCTTTCGTTTGATGCCCATCATCGCTTTTTTCTGGATGCCTTTGTCAAATTATTTTTCTTGCGACTAGGCACAACGTCAACAGGTCTGAGATTAGAATCTAGATCTAGACCTTGATAGCGCCTGACCATGCCGAAAAGAAAACGACGTTCTGCAGTTGGAACCCCTCGCACTCGCAAAGGTCGAGATAGTAGGCCAATGACTTTCAGTTGATATTAATGTACCGATCATCCCTTTCATCGAAAGGGGGCCCAGCTAGTATATATATATATAATACTATAATCTCCGACGCGCACAAAATGAAAGTGTTCTTAGCATTTCCCTCTTCTCCCACACATATTTCTTACGTGTATGACGATCACTAATGGCACTTTATATTTGTAAAACTTTAGCTCACGCATAATTACTATCTCCTGATAAATGACAAGTGAAATTGTAAAATATTTCCTCTCATACTTTATACCAACTAGTCTGATGAATAGCAGCATGACGGCGAGGGGCAATCGTAGTCAGATACCGCGACAGGAAGGTGACTTGGTTTGACGGCGTCTTTCGTGCCTTTAATATTAATTGATAGTGGTAGGAATGTGCGACTCCTCAAACAATCTGAACAGTTTGTCACAAACAGATCTCAGTATATCTCTAACTACATAACTTACTAGTAAAGGACGATGTACCCAACTCCTATTCACTAGCGATCAGCTGGTGCCAGTGCGTTTTGGTCTGTACAATAATAAAATGTAATCATCCTTGCTTGCAGAAACGGAGTAAATAATTAATACGTTTTGTTCCGCATCAATAATTATTGCTCTTCAAAACATGAGTTTCATAAGCTTAATATCGGGATAAAAAAAAAAAGTAAAACGGACTTGTTTTTAAATGTATTATTGTCCCAGATCATATGATATAAGCCTTGTAAATCTGTAGAAACCATCGACTGGGACGTTTTTAAACTAGTATTCTATTAAGGAATTTTCTAGAATACAAAACACAGGGAGGTTAAA